GGTTGAGATAATGGGGGAGGAACCCAAATTTTGGTGGATCTGTCAACGTTTGGGTTTCTGGGTTGAGATAACGGGGGAGGAACCCAAATTTTGGTGCATCCATCAATGTTTGGGTTTATGGGTTGAGATAATGGGGGAGGAACCCAAATTTTGGTGGCTCCTTCAACGTTTGGGTTTCTGGGTTGGGTTGAGATAATGGTGGAGGAACCCAAATTTTGGTGGATCCGTGAACATTTGTGTTTCTGGGTTGGGTTTAGATAACGGGGGAGAAACCCAAATTTTGGTGGATCTGTCAACGTTTGGTTTTCTGGGTTGAGATAACGGGGGAGGAACCCAAATTTTGGTGCATCTGTCAACGTTTGGGTTTCTGGGTTGGGTTGAGATAATGGGGGAGGAACCCAAATTTTGGTGGATCCATTCAACCCAGATTTTGGTGGATCCATCAACGTTTGGGTTTCTGGGTTGAGATATTTGGGGGAGGAACCCAAATTTTGGTGGATCCATCCATGTGTCATGGCCATGGTTTGCGTTTATGGGTTGGGTGGAGGTGAGGAACCCAAATTTGGATGGAAAACCCATGTGTCATGTGTCATCGTTTGGGTTTACGGGTGGGGTTGAGATAACGGAGGAGGAACCCAAATTTTGGTGGATCTGTCTGGAGGTTATGGTCATCGTTTGCATTTATGGGTTGGGATGGAGGTGAGGAACCCAAATTTGGATGGAGGCATGGACATATGGTGGTCAGTTGTTGGGTTTATGGGTTGGGGTTGAGATAACAGGGGAGGAACCCAAATTTTGGTGGATCCATCCATGGGTCATGGTCATCGTTTGGGTTTGCGGGTTGGGTGGAGGTGAGGAACTCAAATTTTGGTGGATCCTTCTGAAGGTTATGGTCATCGTTTGCATTTATGGGTTTGGGTGGAGATAAGGAACCCAAATTTGAATGGACCCATGGACATACTGTGGTCAGTTGTTGGGTTTATGGGTTGAGATGGAGGTGATGGGGGAGGAACCCAATTTTTGGTGAATCCATCTGAAGGTTATGGACATCATTTGGGTTTTGGGTTGGGTTTGGAGATAAGGATCCCAAAGCTTGGATGGACACATGGACAAATCACCGTCAGTTCTTGGGTTTATGTTTAGATGGAGAAAATGGGGGAGGAACCCAAACCTTGGTGGACGCATCCATGTGTCATCATTTGGGTTTATGGGTTGGGTTGAGATAATGGGGGAGGAACCCAAACCTTGGTGGATCCATCCAAAGTTTAGGGTCATTGTTTGGGGTGAAGATAAGGAACCCAAACCTTGGTGGATCCATCCGAAGTTTAGGGTCATCATTTGGGTTTGGGGTGAAGATAAGGAACCCAAACCTTGGTGGATCCATCCGAAGTTTAGGGTCATTGTTTGGGGTGAAGATAAGGAACCCAAACCTTGGTGGACCCATCTGAAGTTTAGGGTCATCGTTTGGGGTGAAGATAAGGAACCCAAACCTTGGTGGATCCATCTGAAGTTTAGGGTCATCGTTTGGGTTTGGGGTGAAGATAAGGAACCCAAACCTTGGTGGATCCATCCGAAGTTTAGGGTCATTGTTTGGGGTGAAGATAAGGAACCCAAACCTTGGTGGATCCATCTGAAGTTTAGGGTCATCGTTTGGGGTGAAGATAAGGAACCCAAACCTTGGTGGATCCATCTGACGTTTAGGGTCATCATTTGGGTTTGGGGTGAAGATAAGGAACCCAAACCTTGGTGGATCCATCCAAAGTTCAGGGTCATCATTTGGGTTTGGGGTGAAGATAAGGAACCCAAATCTTGGTGGATCCATCCGAAGTTTAGGGTCATCATTTGGGTTTGGGGTGAAGATAAGGAACCCAAACCTTGGTGAACCCATCCATGCATCACGGTCATCATTTGGGTTTATGTTTGGAATGGACAAAACAGGGGAGGAACCCCAGACTCACCCAATGCACTCCCACCTCCACACCCACCCCGGGACCCCCAACCCCACCCCTGGTGGTGGGAGGTGACAGAAGGAGGTGACAGAAGGGACTTTTTTCACCTGGCACGAATCGACGCCGCCCTGGGGGACGCCGGCGCAGAACATGTTGGGGGTGATGGACCTCCCGTATGCCCTCATGCACTTCTCCCTGCCAAAGGCCTGGACCCCCGCGCACTGCAGGTCCTTGGGGAGCTGAGCTGCAGAGGGAAGGGGGGAGGGGAGGGGGGGGTGAGAGAGGGCAGACCCTAAAATGGAGCTCTGGGGTCCACCTCCCAACAAAGCCCACCAAAAACACGGGAGGTGCCTCCAACGGAGGTTCCTGTCCGTGTGCTGGGGGCATTCCTTGGGTTGGTGGGGTGGGGTGGAGGTGAGGAACCCAAGTTTTGGATGGATCCATCCATGTGTCGTGGTCCATTGTGGTTTGGGGTGGAGATGATGGTGGAGGAACCCAAATTTTGGATGGACCCCTGGACATATCATGGTCGATTCTTGGGGTTATGCTGTGGGGTGGAGGTGAGGAACCCAAATTTTGGATGGATCCATCCATGTGTCATGGTCAATTCTTGGGTTTGTGGTGTTTGGTGGAGCTGATGGTGGAGGAACCCAAATCTTGGGTGGATCCAACCAGGTTCCTCGGTCAGTTCTTGGGTTTGTGATTTGGGGTGGAGCTGATGGTGGAGGAACCCAGATTTTGGATGGACCCATGGACATATCATGGTCGATTCTTGGGGTTATGGTGTGGGGTGGAGGTGAGGAACCCAAATCTTGGATGGATCCACCCAGGTGTTGTGGTCAATTCTTGGGTTTGTGATTTGGGGTGGAGATGATGGTGGAGGAACCCAAATTTTGGATGGACCCGTGGACATATCATGGTCAGTTCTTGGGGTTATGGTGTGGGGTGGAGGTGAGGAACCCAAATCTTGGATGGATCCATCCATGTGCCATGGTCAATTCTTGGGGTCATGGTTTGGGGTGAAGATAACGGGGGAGGAACCCAAACCATACACGGATCCATCCCCGTTCTGTGGTCATTCCTTGGGTTCCTGTCCTGGGCTGGGAGGAACCCAAACTCCACCTCAAGGGAAACCCATGAGGAATTCATCCCCCATGAGGACCTTGTCCAGGTGGAGGCACCAGAAATCCTTCTGCTGACCAAGGACCATCCACCAAACCTTGGGGATGGATCCAGGCATGACTGGGTTCCTACACTGTTATCTCCACCCCAAACCATAAACCCAAGAACTGACCGTGATTTGCCCACGAGTCCATGCAAGATTTGGGTTCTTTATCTCCACCCCAAACCATAAACCCCATTGTGTCCACCCAAGAAATGCCCACGAATGGATCTCCCTCCTGTTGTGTCCACCCAAGAAATGCCCACGGATGGACCTCCCTCCACCCAACAAATGCCCGTGGTTGGAACTCCCTCCACCCAAGAAATGCCCTTCCATCCTGTCCTCCACCCAAGAAATGCCCATGGATGGACCTCCCTGTGCCCAAGAAATGCCCACGGATGGATCTCCTTCCATCAATCCCACCCAAATCTCCTTCCATCAACCCCATCCCAATCCCATCCCAATTTCTTGGGATGCCCACAGATGGATCTCCCTCCACCCAAGGAATGCCCATGGTTGGATCTCCTTCCACCATGCCCACCCAAGAAATCCCCACCCAAGAAACACCCTTCCATCCTGTCCTCCACCCAACAAATGCCCAAGGACAGAGCTCCCTTCTGTTATGTCCACCCAATAAATACCCATGGATGGAACTCCCTCCACCCAAGAAATGCCCTTCCATCCTGTCCTCCACCCAAGAAATGCCCAAGGATGGACCTCCCTCTGCCCAAGAAATGCCCACGGATGGATCTCCTTCCATCAATCCCACCCAAGTCTCCTTCCATCAACCCCATCCCAATCCCATCCCAATTTCTTGGGATGCCCACAGATGGATCTCCCTCCACCCAAGGAATGCCCATGGTTGGATCTCCTTCCATCATGCCCACCCAACAAATGCCCACGGATGGACCTCCCTCCTGTTGTGTGCACCCAAGAAACGCCCTTCCATCCTGTCCTCCACCCAACAAATGCCCACGGATGGATCACCCTCCACCCAAGAAATGCTCATGGTTGGATCTCCCTACACCCAAGAAATGCCCTTCCATCCTGTCCTCCACCCAAGAAATGCCCATGGATGGATCTCCTTCCATCAATCCCACCCAAATCTCCTTCCATCAACCCCATCCCGATCCCATCCCAATTTCTTGGGATGCCCACAGATGGATCTCCCTCCACCCAAGAAATGCCCTCCCATCCTGTCCTCCACCCAAGAAATACGCATGGTTGGATCTCCTTCCATCATGCCCACCCAACAAATGCCCATGGATGGATCTCCCTACACCCAAGAAATGCTCTTCCATCCTGTCCTCCACCCAAGAAATGCCCATAGTTGGATCTCCTTCCACCCAAGAAATATCCACGGATGGATCTCCCTCCATCATGCCCTCCACCAAGAAATTCCCAAGGATGGATCTCCCTCCACCCAAGAAATTCCCAAGGATGGATCTCCCTCCACCCAAGAAATTCCCAAGGATGGATCTCCCTCCACCCAACAGATGCCCAAGGATGGATCTCCTTCCATCAATCCCACCCAAATCTCCTTCCATCAACCCCATCCCAATCCCATCCCAATTTCTTGGGATGCCCACAGATGAATCTCCCTCCACCCAAGAAATGCCCATGGTTGGATCTCCTTCCACCCAACAAATGCCCACGGATGGACCTCCCTCCACCCAAGAAATACGCATGGATGGATCTCCTTCCACCACGCCCACCCAATAAACGCCCACAGATGGATCTCCCTCCACCCGACACGACCCCCTCCCCACCGATCCTCCCAAATTCACCCCCCCCCCCCCCCCCCCCCCCCCCCCCCACCCCCATCATGGCCTCCATACCTCCCGGGGACCTGGTGGTCCCCCACCCCGACACGCTGCAGCGCATGCCGTCCGTGGGGCACCTGGTGGCCAGGCGGATCTTTTTGATGCTGTTGCTGAAACGCACGGGTTTGTTGAGCCTCAGCAGCATGAAGTCGTTGTCGTTCTTTCGGGGGTTGTAGGAGGGGTGGACGATGGAGCGGGAGATGCTCCTCACCTCCCCTGTCCCATCACGGAGGGTGTCCGTCCCGATCAGCACCCGAAGGTCTCTGAGTGATGGGAGGGGGGATGAAGGGTGAGAAATGGGGGAGGGGGT